TTGACTTCCTTATGGACAATAAAATACAGTGAAATTGCCTAACCTTACCTGCCAAACCAAAACTATTGGACGAACAGTGACACAGTAATCCGTTTATTCAACAACTACGACTAGTTCATTCACTGGTATATGAATATTATCGCGATGTCAATTACAGCTGTATAAACAACAAACACAAGGTGAAAGTTTTCATACTTTCGTTGGATATTCTCGCTGACAACAATGAACCGCACGTTCCACATGACACAAACAGTAACTGTTGTAACGAGTGGACAGCAGGTTAGATGGAGTAGCCTTTTAATAATTGATTCAGTGACACGTAAACACCTAATGAATGACTTAGATTTTCGATTGGCCCTGCTTCCCTGTCTAGCCCAGCCAGTTGAGTCCAGAATGCAAGCCACAGCCTCTGAGATATGAATCATTGTATTTCAGACATACTCTGCTTATATGCCAACCAAACAAACCACATCGTACCATAAAATAGAAAACAACATTTACACAATATTTAACAAGTGAAATAAATATCAACTAATAGGAAATGTCCATTTAACGTCCAAGGACACCATAGACTTAACACGATAATTATTGGTATATTCCTCTGCATACTTAACACTAACAAGATCACAACATAGTGACATTGGCACCACGAGACGGAATCCTGGGACAAAAAACCAAGACAAATAGTTCAACACTTCATCCCCGTTGACAGTTCTGTATTTTCCTTTAATACCCTGGCATTTTATGTGGAAAGAAGGTGAATGCTACCGCAATAAGGCAACAAACTGGCAAAGCATAGCACATCTGTGAACTTTAAGTACTGACCGCCTAGTGGTCGTGAAGAAAAGAAGGCCAAACACTAAACGAGTCGGCAAATCTGCATTAGTTTGCATATCTTGTTTAATAAATTGATCAAAGCGGCATTACTTTAAAGACCATTCCAGGAGGGATCTGAAGTAACAACTTATGTTGATTAGTTAAACGTTGGACGGACACATCTTGGTAATGGGAAAACACTATAAATCAAGTACTTATTTACATCCTTATTTTGCGTAGGCATTATATTTATATTCATTCGATATTAAATGATGAAAGATTGTGTTTGAATTAGAACCTCGCGCTCCAGCTGGTCTTATTGACAATATGAATTATAGCTTGCCCTAGTCACTTGTCTAGCTTCTTTCACACATGTGTTATATCTAAAGCTTAGATTCTTAGTATACCGCGTAAATGTGAGCATCCAAGTTGCAAATAGGAAGACAGAAGACAAATGAAAGAAATGCTATTCCAAACAGTGTTAAATATGGCACAAAACTGTCAGGTATTTATGGTTCTTAGCAGAAACGAAATCATCATTATAGTCCTTTTATCAGAATACATAGGGTTATTAGCATTTGTCCAGTAGGGAAGCTATACGTAGGGATTCTTGGGTATTCTTCCAAAAAATGATTAGACAGAATACCTTCGGCTGTTTCTGAGTTTCTAAGAGCTTTTTAGATTTCATCCGTGCCCCCTTTCCACTATATGAAGTGAGGAGTAACAACCGACACTAAGTTAATATATAAGTTGGGCTGTTACGTTGTTCTAGTCAAGTAAAACTGAAAACCAGATAACACAGAGGATCTCATTGTGTCTGTTATAGTATAAAATTGACAATATTGAGTCGGGCGCTATTCCGATCCTTGGAGTTAACAATCAGAGAGTAGTCAAATGTTTAAATTGTGATGATCAAAAGTTATCACATTCAGTAAGTTTCAAATTTGCGTCTCCATGGACATTTTCGGCCCTCAATTTTATTCTAAAATAGTAATAGGTTGTAAAACTGAATATTTTTCTATAAATAGAAGGATAAGGATTTTGGTAGTAAAATGGAAGTATTGACCTACCCCACAGTTTGTAGGAGGTTCGAATATCCTATCTTTAACTTGAAGAAAATTACCAATATATCTTTGCTTGGGAAACGCTAGATCCCTGCGGTTCATGAAGCACAGATTATCATGGACCTAATCTCCAGAAGCCTACATAGCGTCACTCTAAATCTTTCAGGACTTTCTTCAGTACATGACTAAAAACCCTCAAAAAATGCTCATTATGTCAAGAGTTTTAAAAACCAGAAATATATTTCTTAGGGCCATTTTTGAATAGACCAACCTTGATAGGGGTTGGAATCAGGAGTAAAATCCTCTGATCCCAACCTGAGGAATTTAGATTATGACATACTTACTTACTTACCTACTTACTTACTTACGCCTGTTACTCCTCGTGAAGGAACATAGGCCACTCACTAGCATTCTCCATCCAAACCTGTCCTGGACAATCCTTTCCAGCTCCTTCCGGTCGTTATTCATCCATTTCATATCTGCTTCTATGTCCCGACGTTATGTATTCTTCGGCCTTCCTCTTTTCCACTTCCCTTTGGGATTCCAAGTCAGGGCTTGTCTCGTGATGCAGTTTGATGATTTGCGTAATGTATGTCCTATCCATTTCCATCGTCTTTCCCTAATTTCCTCTTCAGCTGGAGGCTGGTTTGTTCTCTCCCATAAAAGGCTGTTGCTGACGATATCCAACCAATTGACATTGAGTATCTTGCGTAGACAGCTAGTTATAAATACTTGTACTTTCTTGATTGTGGTTGTTGTAGTTCTCCAAGTTTCTGCTCCGTTCAGTAGAACTGTCTTGACGTTCGTATTGAAGATTCTCACTTTGATATTGGTTGAAAGTTGTTTTGAGTTCCATATGTTCTTCAATTGAAGGAATGCGACACTTGTTTTGCCGATCCTTGCACTTACATCTGCACCTGAACCTCCTCGTTCATCGATGATGCTTACCAGGTATGTGAAGGACTCTACATCTTCCAGAGTTTCGCCATCAAGCGTGATTGGGTTGCTGTTCTCCCTGTTGAATTTGAGGGCATTGGTTTTCCTTTCGTGTATACTGAGGTTTACTGATGCAGAGACTGCTGCTACACTGGCTGTCTTTATCTGCATTAGTTCATGTGTATGCGATGGTAGGGCTAGGTCATCTGCGAAGTCTAAATCGTCAAATTGATTCTGAGTTGTCCATTGTATTCCGCGTTTTCCCTCAGATATCGAGGTCCTCATAATCCAGTCGACCACCAGAAGAAAGAGGAAGGGAGAGAGCAGACAGCCTTGTCTGACTCCGGTCCTTACTTGGAATGCGTCTGTTAGCTGTCCTCCATGCATGACCTTGTACTATAGTCCGTCGTATGAGTTCCGGATAATGTTGATAATCTTCTCAGGAACTCCATAATGTCGAAGAAGTTCACATAACATTCTCCTATCTACACTGTCAAATGCCTTTTCATGCGCAGTACAATTGTGTTGCGAATGATGTATTCAATCTTCTTCAACCTTACCGAACTGTAATAAAATTTGGTTTTATACGATGTTTAAAACGGCTTGACTTTAAGAGTTTGTCATACAAGACAATGTACAGCATATCTATGAAAATTTTTGTGATGGCATTTCGAAAACCGTAAAATTATTTCTAGATAAGCGCAAAATGGGAACTTCCGAAGACATGTCTAAATGATGGTCTGACATTTACTTTGATTTGAATTATTTCACGAGTCATTTGTGATATTCTTACGAACTAATGATTCCTATTTACCTGATTGTCCGTTGGTTACGAGTTCGAAATATAATTTATTCTTATATAATCATCTAGTTCTAGCTGCTTCGAATTGCACAGTTTCGGTAATTCTTAGTTAGTACATTAATTTGATTTCCTCTAATTATCGTACTTTCCTTTACTTATTTTTCAATTTATGGCTGAAATTTCACTATTTCAGGTTCCAGAAGCAGCGAACTAATAATTTAAACATTTCATTTATGAAAGAACTGTTCCTGAGACTTTTTGTGCATACATAAAGGTGATAGCAGTTTGTTTCATCTACTTATTCTTACCAAAGTCCGATTAAGCCATTTGATAGAATACTTATCGAGTGAACGAGGACCACAAACTTGCAAAAAATGGTTTTTGTCGGTATTAACTGCATTTATCCTTGTTACTAGAATAATAAACCTATTCTCAAAATTGTAGATTTACCATTGTGACTAGCTAATAAATAATATTCACCATAGGAATCACACATTTTGGTATACTAACTTATCCTACCGTGAACGTCAATGATGCGCTGTTTAGAACTTCTGAAGAACGCGTCTGAGCCGAGGATGGGATAATATGTTTATTTGAAAAGAAAAATTTAAGTGGAATGACTACACCTGAATGGCTGAGCTATGTCGTATCGATTCTCAGTTCCCGCGTTCACCAGTTCCGATCTCCTCCATGGCATTAAATATTGACATTGAATATAAGTCTTCTTAGCTATCTTCTGTTCTGTTTTATGGATCGTTTGTTTGAAAACCAATAGAATGAAGACGTCACAGGTATTCAGTGTTTGACAACGCTTTCACCAGTAACACCTAATATAATTGGTTCCCACCCAGAGAAATCAAAAGACAGAGTCGAGGAGATCGGAAGAGTGTATTTGGCGATTACCAATATATCGGGGTTCTCTGATCTAATCTGGCTAGCGATTGCGGTAGATGTTGAGCACAGCGTTACCACACGTGATCTGGCGCGGATGCATGAGCGAGCGCCTTCAGCTAGATGAGTCCACTAAAACATATGGTCAGCATCCAATGTCGAAAACTTAGAGCTATTTATTTTGGGGATTTATTTACCGCTACAACAACTACAAACTCACGTTTGGTCCTTGATAATTTATTCCTCATGTTTCACAAAGAAAAAGAGACCAAATTGTGTGCCAAAATGCATGACTTTTGGACACTCAAACTGACTTCATAAACCTTATCAAAACACCTAATTTTTCAGGTAGCAATAAAAATCATTTCCAACATTTGGCTGATACTGTCCATGTAAAGGTCTTTTTGGAAAAAAAGTAACTGAATACAAGCTTTTTTATAGGTATTCGTTTGATTTGATGTGTGTTTTAAGCAATCTCATGTTATCTACTTATTTAGCACCTTTTTCCAATGTTGCGGTACTTATTGTTTGTTGTATGCAATGTGTTAATGTTACCTACACCGTTATCTTGCATTCTTACAGAGAATATGATATCAGAATCTATAGCGGCTTACCAAATCAATTTCGAGTTATCAATTATACCCCATGCAAGCTGAGTTTTTCCTTCCTGTAATTCAACATTGACCCTGAGATGTCAAGTCATCATTCACTTAGCCCGCGGAAAATCTGTAGTAACCAAAGCCAACCTGATATTGTAAGTACTTGACACTGCTTAAAAACGGTCTAAATGTGCTGATCTAACTAAAATCTTGTTTTTATGGGTTGTTCTAACTTTGAAACATATCTTTAAATGGTTTTTCAGGGGTAAATTTTCATCTTAGGGGTACCTGTTGTATGTTTACTTTACTGACTTTGTAATAACCAAAAGTTTTTGATATCAATGAAATACATATCCATTTTACTCCACATATATTTTGTCGACTATCAGTGTTAATATAATTGGATTTGAAATGTTCTACATATCAAATGATTAGCTAGTGATATATGCAGTGTACATATAAAGCATTCGAGTTAGGTAATATACCAACTCAGCGAACAGTAAGATGACTCAGTTTTTACAAGTCATGTAGAAAATGTAGGCAGTGATTAAACAGTGTTTATGTAAAAAAATTGTGGATTTTATTAATAAATACAAACCGACTTCCCCAAAGTGTAATAAGATTCTGGGGAAATTTAGGAGAAATATTGGGGTTTTGGTACCATTTCCCCAAAAATTTTCACATGGGCTTCCCCAAAATTGGGAGATTGAGATACTACAAAATTTTCGTATTTGGGCTTCCGTTCATTATTAGTGATAAGGTCATAATCAGTATGATGGTTGCTTATTTGGAATCCTGAGTTCCAAGAAAATTCTTTTCGTTAAGATCTCATCCTCAACGGAAACCATATACTCCATATTGACATCAAAATTGATCGTATCACGTTACTTTCAAATATTGGTTGACACCATCGTCACGACAATAATGAAAATCAAAGACTTAAAATGTCTTGAACCCAAGAAATCAAGTTCTGACCAAAGAAGTGATCAATCTGTAATCGATGCACTTATCTGATAGTTGCTGTCAGGTTGACGTTTCTAAGGCACAAAAACAGCCTAATGCCTGGCACTTCATTTATCTTAATGAAGGGCAAAATGTGTTGTCACACGTCAGTAATCTTTTATTTGCAATCCTCACAAGAGCTCCCACCATCTGCGATTATCTGTTCCAACTTTTACCATTTTGAAAAGTATACTCCCCACTTTTCTGGTTTTAAATACATATAATTTTAGTAAACACCAATTATTATCTAAAAATATTGCGCCAATAGGTTTAGAGGACAATAAAACGTTACTCACATCTACAAAACCCTAAATGTATCAACATGTATCAGGTATTTGTCAACATTATGCTTTATCTTCAGGGCGATTTCCATTTAATCGTCAACAACAAGATGTTGCCGTGTTTAAATTTTCGTGGACTTTATTTTTGAACTAGTTTGCTTTCTATTTTTACTTCTGTGTAATGTTTGCTGTATAGCTTTACGCGACTTTTACATGAATATTGACCGTGTTATGATCATTCCTCTTTGTAGGTCGATTCATTTTTACTCGGCATTTTTACTGACACAGTACCTTTATTGCTAGATATCATGATGTATTAATACTTTGTTAACTTCACATACTCTTGTGTTGTACTTCGACTTTTCAGAGAAGGCATGAAAATTCATGTAATTCATTGATTATCGGTGTATCCACTAGCAGCGAAATTAGTGATAGTCATAATTCAGAACCCGAAATTATTGAAGACAAACCTCCTAGTCCTTTGTCACTTCAACAAGATGGTGTTTTCTCTTTAGTTCAAAGCCCACCCTTTGAAAATGATCAGTTGGATTCTGTTTCTCCCGAAAATCTGCTTTTGAATCTACTTATTGACTCAAACAATCAAACATTAATTAACCTATCTGAAATTGATTCCACTGTTGCTGACCAAAAACGCGAACTTGCCCCTATCACAAATGTACGGAATCCTGATCTGCAAAATATGACTCCATCAGAAAGAGCAAACTCAGTCTCTGGTGATATATCAAATCCAAACTGTTCACATGTAGTTAAAAGTTTTCGAAAGCCGAAATACAGTCTACGTGATGGCGTTTCACAGCAACCCATTACAGATTACATCTCTGCCTCAACTATCGGAAGCTCAGACCCTGTCTTTTCCTTGACAACCAGAGAAACTAACTTATCATTAATAGCATCCAGGAAGAGTGTAAAAGGTAGTCATAACTAAATAACTTTTTTACGAGTGTTATGGTAGGTTCATTCTTCATCATTTTAAGATTATGTATTGGATTCATATTAAAGGCATTTTAAAGTTCCATATGATGATACCACTGTGAGTTGGACAGGTCATGGTTCATAGGTTTAGGTGCCAATTTTTAATCATTTTGTGTCTAGTTAAAGAGTGATCTATTTACCTCAACTTCTAATACATCGTTGAGATGTGATATAGTCGGCCGATAGGTTTGGGAAACAAAACTCATGAAAACTCAGTCAGTCAGTCATCTACAACGTAGGACCAGGCATATATATGCATCGGTCAAAGTTGCCATTAGCACAATAAGATAAACATCAAATCCATGGAAGCATTTACTTCAGTGATAGCAATATATATAAAAAGATTATATAAGGATATGATACAAGGGAAAAGTATCAGGGATATAGACAGCAGTTGGTTCCAGCGTAATTATACCTATCATTTTCTTTGAAATTCAGCCCAGCAACTATTCATAGATTTGTGCTTCAAACTACATGTTGTATAAAAGCCTATAAGGTTAACCGACCATCCAAGTTACTGACAGTTTGAAAGTCATTCATCTAAAGTAACTAGTCATCACTGTATCATTTGATGTATTATTTAGAACTTCTATGCTGAGAAACAACCAAACAAAAATTATCTGATCATATAATATTCTGATATTTTGTGGCTCACTTAAGTTAAGTTGTTTGTGAATAAATTTAGTCAGTCGTATGTAATGTAATAAGGCCAACAATAATTACCTGATACACATGTGTCGGCTCAAGTTACCACACCACATTAGCATTCCTAGGATCACTTATTTATTTGTGTGGGAAATAATTTTTTATGATAAAATGAGTAAAACGTTTACGGTGTGCTAGTTTTCAAATTATGTATGTCTACTGTTTTTTTATTAATAAGCATAGTGTTAAAAAAAGGAAGTACTACCACTCTTTCGAAAATGCTTGTTTTGGACATCTTTTTATTTAAAAAATAATCTAGTGAATTGCAACTACACGTCAAAAAAGAATGAAATAAAGTGCGGTTCTATCTTTGAAATTATTGTCCACATTTTTAAGTTCACGAGGGATCTAATTTTTATCTAGACGCCATAGCCTGCTCACTATTCTTCAATTGCTAGACATATTTAATCCAATATAGTGCGAATTCCCATTTTAGCCATTTATCTAATTTAGTCATCTGATCAAGCAATATGGAATTTTAATAGCTGAATTCATAAATCAATTAAAGCTAGACCACTATTGAAAGCCTGGACGGCTGTTTTGTCTTAGTTTGGGACACCTCAACAGTACGCATCCACGATCCCTCACGCAGCCGTCCAGTGCTTTCAGGTTTTTGATGGTGATCTAACTTATATCGACTAATGAATTCAACTATTAAAATTACTACAGTTTCCACAAACCCCTATTCTGATAACAATACAGAATTATCTTGATGTTGTCGAGTTCTCTGGGTTAGATGGTTTGATTGTGGAGCTTTCATTGTCGTTCCGGGAAACATCGTCATCGCTTACATACATGCAGCAAGCAGTGACGACGTTTTCCAGAATGAAAATGAAAGCTCCACAATTAAAACATTCAGCTCGGAGAACTTAACAATACCAAAATTATTCACTTAAGCTCTAAATCTTTCCATTCAGTACGGAATCCTCCTAATAACTTTTCATCAAAGGTTTCTTGTTTTCAGGATAATAATTCTTTAGTTATTAGGGTGAAACCTATTGATCTAAATCCTTGAAGTGAAAACAATTATGAAAGGTTTATTTATACGACAAGGCAACAACCAGGTAATTAATGTCAAGTAAAAAGTACTATAGTTGACTAGTCAGGTTTTGAAATTACTGCGTAAGGATTTGTGGTAATATTTAGTTGTCCCAAAGAATAACTTAGGTATCTCTTAATTCTGCGACTTGATTTCGCTAACAGGTCATGCATATATTCAAAAGATTAAAATGTATTTTTCAGTATAGGGTTGTGGAGATTGTTAAATTTCATTGAAATCATGAATTATTCTAATATAGGCGATCATTGAAAACCTGGAAACACTGGACGGCCGTTTCGTCCTAGTATAGGACTCCCAAGAGATGCGCATTCATGATCCCATCACAGGGAATCGGACACAGGATATTCTGTCTCGGTCCGAAACTCTTAACCTCTAGACCACTAAGTCCGCATCCAGCTATGTTAATGTCTAACTCCAACCAACCCATGATATTGCACGGCCATCTTCAATTATCTTCAATTGGTAATTGCCTCACACCCGACACTGTTGAACTTCACTGGTCATAGCTCCGCGCTAGCACTGAGAGAATTTTCTTCTCGAAGCTAGTCATTAATGGGCATATAATAATTGTCAGTATGAGGTTGTGTAGATTTTTGAATTTCTTTTAAATCATGAACCGATCTAGATTAGAAATTATTTGTAATTAAATTGTAATCTTAATGTTTCTAGTACATGTTTGATACACTCAGCGTTTAGATAAGTTGTTTGTATAAGGGATGATATAAATATTCAACCTCATCTCATCTACTCCGGTTTCTCAAGAGTAAACGAACTCAAGAAGTCAAAATCGTCATTTCGATTGTTAACGTCTCATTTTTAATGGATATCAAAAATATTAAAAGAATCATTGGAGGTCAAATTTCCTGCTCATGTGAAATAATTTTGTATTTTACAGAACTTTATGGACAACCAAGCTGGTGGGGTGATGGTGATAGCGACTATTCCTATCCACATACCTCTTCTTTTGGAAATAAAGAAACTGTGCATCCTGTTGTCGCTTCACGCAAATACAGTGAGTTTTCAAGTTTAATAATTTCTCCACCTTTATGGGCACAGAAATATATGTCCTCAGTTGTTTCTACTCTCAAAGAAATATGAATTTATTTAAAAACGCCTGTTTAATTTACAATATATTTCATTTGCACTTCTGTTAATATTCAAATAGTTTGAATATGGATAAAGTTTTCGAATTTCATCTACCCCGTTCCGCTTACTTCTGTTTAAGTAACCAAGTAGTATCATTAGTCCTTACACTTATAATATGGCTCAAAGACAAGTACACGACAGTGATAGAATTATTTAGATATAGTTTTTGTATACATTTGGCAATTATGCTTCATTTAAATCAATCTATGCTGTTATCATTAAATAACAATTTTATACATAAAAAAATAATTTTACTGCTGAGTTCTTTTTAACGTACTATTATTGTTTATTTAAAGTCTTTTCAAAGATAAAAAGATCGGATCAATATTATTTCATTTACTCACTTACGATTCATACTTTTCCATTGGAATTTATACCAGTGTTACTATGTTATTAGAGTTGATTAATACGTGTATGATATGTCTTAAGTTTCTGCAACTTTTAATAACTCGTATTGGACATTGGAATGAAAGTCTAGCCACGTGATACATTATCTGATTTGTTTTTAAACCGGCGACTGTAAAGAAATATCACAAAAGCACACATGATTGTTACTATTGTTTTTTTTTTGATCTGTAAAAAGTATGTTATTAAGAAATATTATATATACTGTCGGTAATGATCAATTACCCGTGTAAATGTTTTTTAAAAAAAACACTCATCGTTTTTACCGTTAGATAATTACTTCTATTCTATAAGTGGGTTTATGCAAACAAGATCTAATTAAGCAAAACATGGATAGTGGCTAGCAGTGGAATCCAGGACGCGCGTTTCGTCCTATTTGGGGCCCGTCAGCTGGATGTACATACATCGCAGAGTTGATATTCACTCTTTACTTAAAAAACTTGTGACTTATGGCTATATCGAGGCAATTCGCACAACATGCACATATGCCAACATGAGACTGATCAATTGCAGTTCTAAATAACAATGTGAAGATACAAGTAAAACAACACCAAGTGAATTTAAGATCTAATGAAATTGAATTTTCGGTTTTTTTTTCTAGGAGATTTTCTAAAGTTCACTAAAATGTATTGATAATTCAAACTTTATCTACATGAAAGGCTGTTATTCATATTTTCATTCATCATTGTCTGTCAATATCTTTAACAATCCATCTAGGCCGCGCACATACCTTGCCAAATAATGAAATTAATTATTAGCTTTTCTCGTAACTTTGCTATAGTGGTTGGTGTGAAGACCCTTAGTTTATCAGAACAGGAATACTAGAAGTTAACCATTGAGTTACATTGATGAAGGTTGAAACATGTCAATAATTTAATCTGTAGAGGTAATTAAACTCAGCTGTTATTTAGGTGTGGAGGTTTCTTTTTGGTTTGGGACTTCTGATAGCAACAAGAAATCCCTGTTCGAAATCATACACAAAATGTTTAGATTGATCGGATTCAATAATCCAAGGTTTCGGATAGTAACACCATAGCGCAAATTGTGACACTTTTCAACACTAGTGCAAGACATCGACAGACAGTGAAAAAAAATAAAATGATAAAAGCTGGTTGTATAGATCAGGTAGATTCTTTTTCGGGGGTGCCCTAATTTCTATACTGAGTTGTTTGGCTGATAAGTTTTCATTCTAGGCTTAGTTATTAAAAGAAGATATATCAACACAAATGATGTTTGTAGATGAATAAGTTGTTTTAAATGACTGAGACAAACAAATACATTCTTGTTATTTTCATCTATTTTGAGTAAGTTATTATTTACTGACGACTTATTATTTTCGGTTCTCCCATTCGTGCCACCTATTACTGCTTGAAGTTATTGTAGTTTAATTCTAGTGCTCTTCATAGAATCTTTTATTTCTCACTTTATCCAGTTTGAACGAAATTTTAGAGATGCATTAGAATTTATCGAATATATATGTGCTCAAGCTAAAATATAACCAAGATTCAAATAGGCACTTTGACCGATCCGTATTCATTGAGATGTTGGTATGAGTTCATTATTCAGGTAATGTTTCCTTCATTTCTGAATCTGGTGACGAAAATGAGATGATTAAAGTTATTCTTCTGTATAGTTCAAGTTCAGAATGTACTTTCTGAATACTGTCCTCTTTGAGCTCAGCTTCTTGTTATACACAGTAAAGTTAGGACCTATAACATATTCCTTTATACGTTTATTCTTTTTGAGTTGGTCTAGGGAATCTCAATAAAACTTATTCTGATCTGCATTATATTCAGTGGTTATGTTAACTAGAAATAAGCAATAAGAGATCACGTTTCCCCACTCTCTTAAGTTTATATATAAACATTCAGTCTAATGACATTCATACATCTGTAAAGCCTCAAAAATGGTCTTGACAAGGAAAACTGATTTTTAATGCACCTAATAGCTACCACTAATATTCCATGGGCTTGAATTTTTAACAAACATCGTAAAGCTCTGGAAGGTTAAATAAATGACGATCTTAGTAACAACAAGAATTAATTTATTGGAAGAAAGTTATGAATGTAGAAGTTTGAAAACAACAAGGTTAAATCACTATTTGGTGCGAAAAAAACGATAGATTTACTGTCTATTCACTTAGTGGTTGAAATCAGTAATCTTCTTAGACTCAAATATTAGTTGTTTAATGATAATTATTTTGGTTTTCGTGCATGGTATGCCGACTGAGAAAAATTTTTCACAACTCTTGATGCTATTATAATCTGGAATTATCAACTTTTGTGTACTTCTGGTGCCTGGTATTCCCTAAACATGATGCTTCACTCAGCTCTCATCAAATCAAAAGAGTTGAGAGCGACAGATAGAGTGGTGTGTGTGCCAATAGTTTTGAATCAGGTGCGAGACGGAAGGCCTGGGTTCGAATTCCGCGAGCGGCACTGTAGATGCGCACTTCTAAGGAGTCTCACAATAAGACGAAACGGCCTTCCAGTGCTTCCAGGTTTTCAATGGTGATCTAACATCAATCGGTTCATGATTTCAATCAAAAATATTATTAAACACTCGAACTTAGATGGAATTTACACAAGAATCTTCTAGTATCTACTTAATTCGTCCACTAGTACTGGTTCGTTCCAATTTGGGCCTGATTACAGCTTACGATAGACCTGCTAATATCAGCATATTAAAGCATTGAATTGATTTGAAGAGTTTTAATTTTGGTTATCAATACAATAGTAAAGGGAAGAAATTAGGTTTGCGCTCATCTAATAGGTTTTGAACTACAGAATCATATCGAAATCTCACAGAGACGTTCATATGCTAGTCAAATTAAATACATTCTAATTGCCTCATTAAAAGTATTTTATATATTTAATCACTAAGAAATGCTCCACACAAAATTTAAAGTATTGTGATGCATTCCATTCTAGTGGTAAACAGTCAAATCTTTACTGCATTTATCATCAACTGTGAAGAAGTTTTCTGCCACTTCTATCCAAAAAACATTCTCCATTGTGTAATATTTTTGTTAGTGTTTATTGAGTACTTGTCTTGAGTCTTTCATGCATGAATTTTTTGGTTTTTTTCGCAGTTTGTTCCGCTAAAAGATAGTTTAGAAGAGAGGAAAAAAAATCAATCAATACGATTTCTCCTTTTGTGTTTTACTGTTTTCGTATTGTTTAAGTTTTAATCCCTTTATCAAAGCTTATGAATGAATAACACGGTTAATAATTAGTTAGTTAGGAATGTAAAATATGAAAATCCATTGGAATATTTTCGCAGTTGAGAAATAAACAATACAAAAGTTGATTTTATTCAAACTTATAAACACAGATATTTTACAATTATTTTACTGGGTTTTTTGTTGTTGTTGTTGTTGTAAATTTACTATCATATACAGGAACAATGGCTAAGTAATTTAAATGGACGACTCTTGTTATTAAGCCCTCATAATTCAAGCGGACAAGTCAACATTGAGAAATATACTTGTCACTACTCTCTAACAGCATAAATATAACACTTTGACATGCATAGACAATCATATTAGACATGACCTTGAGAATTATTCGCCCAGCCTTTTTAAATGATCGTAATAACTCCATAACTGGGATGTTTTTTCTTTTGATACTAGTTAGGTTCTAAGGCAATGTAACATTTTTCTTATAAAGTCACTTTTTATGATTTACTAAACAAAATCTTTTTTCTTTGTAATCCCTTGAAGAAATTCATGAAGTAATTTCTCTGGATATTTTTCATTGAGTATTAACTGGTTGAAACTGATTTTTATTTTGCTCTATTTGACCCACTAAACAAAATGAGAAAAAAGAACATCATTACTTACTTATTTACTTACATCTGTTACTCCTCGTGGAGGAGCGTGGGCCAACCACCAGCACTCTCCATTCAACCCTGTTCTGGGCAATTCTTTCTAGCTCTTTTTAGTTGTTATTCATCCTCTTCATATCTGCTTCTATTTCTCGACGTAATATGTTCTTTGGCCTTCCTCTTTTTCGCTTCCCTTCAGGATTCCAAGTTAGGGCTTGCCTCGTGATGCAGTTTGACGATTTACGTAATGTATGTCCTATCCATTTCCATGGTCTTTTGCTACTTTCCTCTTCATCTGGAAGCTGGTTTGTTCTCCCTTATAGTAAACTGTTTCTGATTTTGATGGAGTTTTGTTCTCTGAGCTGGATGGTTTGGTCGTGGAGCTTTCATCGTTTTTCTGAACGACATCATCAGCACAAACTTCAGATAGAAGTGAAGTGTTCGAATTTCTCCATATGTGTTTCACAGCTTGTTCTGTGCACTTCGATGTTGATTGGGTCTTGTTGACCTTAAATTTATCATTGTTTACTTCTTTGTTTTGGTTGTGTCTCCCATTGGTTTGATTTTTGTTCCTATATTTATGCATGATTTTCCTGATTGGTTGATAAATTGGATTGTGGATGATGGTATCCTTCCAATAGATGTTCAGTATCTTGCGTGGACAACTATTTCTAAATATTTGCACCATCTTGATGATGGTTGTGGTGGTTCTCCAAGTTTCAGCTCTGTACAATGGAACTAACTGTCTTTACGTTCGTATTGAAGATTCTGACTTTGATATTGGTTGACAGACAGTTGTTTTGATTTCCATATATTCTTCAATTGTAGGAATGCTATCCTTGTTTTGCCAATCTTCGCCTTTACGTCTGCATCTGATTCTCCTTGCTTTCTAAGAAAAAACGCTAACTAGAAAAAATAATTCAAACCAAAAACAAAACATTAATTTCAGCCTTTTTTTCGCAATGAGAAAGTTTTGGTTAGTAATCACACAAAATAGATTGTTTACCAGTTGTAATCAAAATATAAGAAGTTAAGGAACACCTACACATTGTATTCTATTCTTGAAATAATTAAATTATTGTTCTTTCGAAATTTTGATTGATTATTTTGTCACACTGCAATAACACTTTATAGTCAGTTGGGCGGTTACAGAATTTTTTTTTCAAAAAATTGAGAGAACATCTTGAATATTACTAAGCAACAGTAGGCTGTACATTATTAAAGCAAAAAAAATCATCCATTATACACTAATGATAACACATTTTGATAAAGTCAGTGATTGTTAGAGTACATAGTGTTCGAGATATCGTTCTGATACAAAGTTATATTCTAGTGAATACTATTTTCTAGTTTCATTCAATTCACATTTCTCGATTCTTGATTTATTCCATGAGTTACAGATACTTACTGATAAGCTTTCTAATTGGACGCTAGATTCAGTTCCTAAGCTCTTCTAGTAACCACCAGGCTAAATGTACACAACAACTTGAACACGAGAGAAAAGGCGTGAAATATAGAAGAAACGCTTTACTCCAAAGGTTCATTTCTGTACAGAAAATCTAGGGTTTTTATAGTATTTTAGATGGTTTTGGGTTTCCGAAAAATTCTAGAACGCTACTGTAACATAATAGCAGTATAGGTAATCATCCAATCAGAAATTCAACATATGACTTTTCACTTTCTAGATGTTTCTGATAAAACTTCTAGTTAATGCTAAGTACTTTATCGTCTCCTTTCGTGACACATGCTGTCGAAGAATCCATTCTGAGGCACGCTTTCTACACATGAATACGGCTATTCGAGAGGAAAGGTAAAATGTGAGAAAAGATGTTCTTTAGGATACTAAAACTATCAGTGGCCTGTGTCTCACCTCTTGAAAACGAAAGCCATTTCTTAACCAATCAAATGCACTTACCAGCCGCTCATTTCTGATTGCCTCACTGTATCACTTTTCTTGTTTCAGATATTTTTATTGTTAATAAACTGATATTTTATCTACACAGAAATAGACGACAATACTTTGTAAGCTTTTATTTAGTTTTAGCATAAAGTTAACATTAGTCTTTAATTTCTTGTTTATCTCTTTTGTTTGTTTACAGGTATGAAAACGGATATTAATTTAACATCTAAGGAAAATTCTACTCGACCTCCTGCTGAAGCATTTGTTATAGATTTTAGTTCTTCGAAACCTCGTTTAGAAAGACCTGCATCAATATCTGGTAGTCTTAGCCAATGTGTTCCTCTGAAGCTTCGTCAAGGTTTAGATGAAAGGGAAAGGAGGAAAAAGGAGAAACAATTAGAAGTTAGAAAGCAATCTACATCCGGAATAGTAAATAAAGTAAGAGGATCATGATATCACATTCATTTTCTTAGGTTTCTTTTTAACTAACCCAGAGTAGGTAAAAGAATTCAAACTAAGGTGGATAAATTAGCTTTTAATATATATATATAGTGAACGAAGAACTGAGGCGGGAAAAAGCAACTGCTGCTACATACCACTTATATCTGTCAGTATGAGTAGTATACGCTGCATATATATTAACTAGGTTGTAATTAAAAAACGTTTGGAGTATTTGAAATATGTCAAGCCACATTCAGTTCATGGTGTTGATTTGATGTTGCTGCCAATTGTTCATTCTATTATTTCATCATTGTTAGTACTAATATTTCTACAGTTTTGCATTCTACCATTGTTGATATTTCATCAAGTCACTGATGAAACATGTAATGGATTATGTTTCCGTTTTCTTTCCACAATCGTTATGTATCTTTTTTATTGATCTAGTTACCGCTTCATAGTTATATATAAACTTACTTTATCAGAAATGTGAATTTTTAATTTTTAATTAATTCTCTAATGAATGCTGGCTGTTTTCTTTCTCAAATTATGAATCTCATTGTGTGAAAATATTCACAAAAGCTACTTATAAATAGTGATATTTGCTAACTGAATGCTATTGATTAGCGAGTTGTAAAAAACATCTAGAAATTATCAAAAGTATTTTATACTTTAGTCAATTTGAATACTACCGTTCAAGTTATTTATATATATTATCTGTAAATCCTTAGTAGGTGTCATCTCATGATGACATCTATCTTAATGCGAACCACTTCCTCCGTTAGCAGGTGTAATACCACCAGTTTGTAGGTCCGAACCATCCTTCCTATTAGCATAACTAATACTCCATATAAACTCTGTCATTCAAAGCTGAGTACATAAACTTGCACTTGGTAAATTGTATGACCTTGGTCAGCAATCATCGATAGGTAGTTCGAGGTTTTAAAATCTTGTTTACCACCTTTACCTAGTATTTAGTACCCTCGATGCGGTGTAAATATGTTATATCAGTAGGAAATATAAAGAATTCTGCAATCTAAACTTGTTTTGTCTGTCATTCTTCTTGTATTAAACGGTTAGATGAACTTGCTAATCTGAAGTGCGAAATTGTGTCATTCTTCTGCTTTATATGTTTTTAATTTCAAATAAGTTAAGAAGTATTTGACTAATTGTCATGTCCTAGTTGCCCACATCTCAGAACGGCAGTTTTTTGAGGTGCCTGAAAAGTCAACTGAAGTGTTAATGGTCGAAGCAACTTATGAGACTTGGCTGTACAGCCCGAAGGGAAAAGTACATGAAGGCAATCAAACCACCCTTTTGGGAGAAAATTTTAATGTGTCATCTCAGTACCTTAAAAACCTTACAGACAGTGATAGAAATCTGTGAAGCATGATGAGGTGTGTCATTCAACGTTTTCTATCCCCTTCCTCGCATTGTCGGAAGGTATCATTACTGAAGATGCTAATAATCTATGGGAAACACCTTACTACTGTTATACCTCTGTACAGTTAGCAGTACGACTTTGGCCTTGGACCTTAAGTCGCTACTTCTATTCTTTCTGTTTTTCAACCGATCTACTTTTCATGGTAAGATCTAAAGAACAAGTATTTCAACTAATATAGTTCTATTGGGTCATCACGATAGGCACTTAATTTTGAATAAAGCATTATAAATATTATAATCTTTTTTTGTTGTATTTGTTCAAATCTTCCGATTGATGTTTAGGATTGCAATCTATCAGCCTCTTATTAGCATATATACATCCTGTGCGGGCTGTCCTCGATATTGTCTTTAGTCACAAGTATTATAAGCAGAGATGGATGGTAGCTAGCAGTGGAATTCAACACGGGTTTCGAGTCCCGGAGTAAACATCAACTCTGTGATACAGGTACATCCAACTGACGAGTCCCAAATAGGATGAAACTTACGTTCTGGATTCCACTGCTAGCCACCATCTATCTTTGCCTATATTGTAATTATTGTTACAAACTTCACTTAAAACATATATTTTTTCTCAGCGTATGAAAATAATCAGTAAAATTGTTTGCATTAGTATATGTATATATTAGTAGAAAGTTGATTATATAAATGAACTAATTGATACCTGTAAATTATTAATAATAAATAATATTTAAGTTGTTAACACATTATAAAATTCAATTATTTCATTATACGCTTGTTCTGCTTCGATTTAATTACAGGTTGTGTTAGTGTATGGTTATATGTACACATATGTGAAATATAGACTGTTAATAGCATCGACCGTACAACTTTAATTCTTTCATACAAACTTTATGTTTTGTCTGTTATTTGTTAATCCGTATTGTGTTTTTGTTGTTGCTGTTGTTGTTGTTGTTGTATCATATGATCTTTGTTGATATCTTTATCCTTATAACCTTTTTTACTACACTGTGTTGCGTATGTATAACTGCCGCCTTCTTCGACAAGTTATGTTAGCGTTTGTGTAAGAATACGTTAGAATAAAACTAATAGCGGGCAAACAAACAAAAAAAACGACATCAGTTCATGAAGTTGATGATTGGAGCTCTGTTCATAGACTTGGTCGAAGTAACCTCAGTCAGTATTTGGTTAGGTTAGGTGATGTGGTTTAAAATCAATCACAACGATGCAGATGGATTCACCCTTAACATTACGCTAGGTCTTGAGCTCCAAAATTTCTTTAAAACTACCTTTCCATACTATTTTTTTTGCAAATTATATTCTCAACGTTTATTCAATGCTCCTTGTTTTTCATTAATCCTTTTAATTGTTAACAGTCTGCGATAAGAAATGTAGTTGGACAGATATCTAATTGTTTAAACTATACAGTCTATCTTATTTTAGGTTATTCATATTACTTCACTGACTATTGGGTTGTCAAGTTTTTTCTTCTAAAATTGTGATTATATGACAATCGGAACTACACACAAACAGTTGGTAACTATATCGGGTTTCTTTTCATTCATCTACCAGACGTGTATGTTAAATTATTCATTTATTTATCTATTTTTATACGAAACTCAAGATTTAAGCAAAGAGAAACCCTCAGTGTTCTGCTAATAAACAAAAACGTTTATTAACCAGTCTCTAAAGTAATTAAATAAGTTCAATAAAGATTTTTAGAGATTATCGTTAAGACCTAAGGTGTATTTAGACAGCTGTTTCATCGTAGTTTAGAATTTATTTGGAGGGTTCACTGACAATTTCGCCGTAGCTCGAACCCAGGACCTTTAGGTTTCGTGGTAACAGATGAATTATAAAACTGCTTAGTTGTCATCCTATAGTACATATTTTGTGATATGATGCAACAGTCATTCAATCCTACTAAGAACGAATATTTCACACCTTGCATCACTGAACCCCATCTTTTACTAGTTACATCTATGACTTCAAAAAATTCACCTCCACATAAGTTACTAATGACTAGACAATTACTGTTTTGATGAAGGGTTTTTTTTCAATGATTAGTTTAAATTGTAGACTTATTACTCTGAATTCGATCCATAAAAAAGTACCACTTACAAATCAGGAATAAGTTTATTTACAATATTTTCTTTTAATAATTATGTATTTCGAATCGTTCGTGAGAATTATACATGTACTGGTATTTTATAGCGAAAAGTGGAATGGACGAACCATTCAGGTATAAGATAACAGGTCTCGGATTTTGGCACGAAATTCACTCATCTATTTGGCTAAATAGAGTTTTGGCATTATAGCTGATATCAGTTCGTGATGAAAACCCTAAATGTAATTCCTAATCCTCATTTGGTCCTGGTTACTAAGTGGACCCCCTCAAGGTCACTTAGCGTCGCTCAAAGTTCGTCCATAAATTATTGTCTCACCCGAACTCAATTAAAATAATCCACAACTTAAGAAATCAGCAATGAAAATTAATTAATAGTAGGTTTTGACATCTTATTTTGAATGAAAATAAAAATAATTTCTATGAAAGGAAGTTCATGGTGGGATTCTTTTTTGTCTTTAAAACACTTCCTTAATTCTAGAAACATAATAAATTGGTAGTTTTTATAGGATACTTTTAAAACTATATTGTAAGTCTATTGTATGAAATATGTGTACTATAGTTATACATTGATTGATAAAAATACTCTTGATAACGAACATCGACATTATGGTCGGTTATGTAATCGCGCCATTCCTTGTGAGCTTTACGATCATCTAAATTTTGGACAAACTCCTAAAAGGAAGGGTGTTTTGATCGTAATTCAGGTCAGTTACTCAAAGAAAATTTTCTGTCATGTATATATACATGACATCTTTTTATTCTGCATTTTTAATGATATATAAGGTCTTCAAGTGTTAGCTGATCAGTAATTGATAATTAATATTGTTAAACAAATTACTTACTTACACCTGTTAGTCCTCGTGGAGGAGCATAGACCGCCCAACAGCACTCACCATCCAACCCTGTCCTGGGCAATCCTTTCCAGATCTTTCCAGTTGTTGTTCATCCTTTTCACGTAATGTGTCTTTTGACCTTCCTCTTTTCCACTTCCCTTCAGGATCCCGAGTTAGGGCTTGTCTCGTGATGCAGTTTGATGATTTGCGCAATGTATGTCCTATCCATTTCCATCGTCTTTTACTACTTTCCTCTTCAGTTGAAAGTTGGTTTGTTCTCTCCCACAGAATGGTGTTGCTGATGGTATTTGGCCAATGGATGTTGAGTATCTTGCGTAGACAACTATTTCTAAATACTTGTATCTTATTGATGATGGTTGTATTAGTTCTCCAAGTTTCTGTTGAACAAATTGCTTAGCAATAACATCACTTGATTTTTAACTGTTGAATTACTTCTAAGTTCAGTCAAAATATCAACAACAGGATAATCCAAACCATTTCAAATTAAATTAAAATTCATGCTTGTTGCACAGATGAATGACTGTTTAAATCGAGTAGCTAAGTGGATAAGGGGATGATGTTTGAAGCGAACGTTATTCGGTTTGAGTCCTGAAGTGAACATCAACTCTGAGATGCATATACATTCTGCTGATGAGTCCCAAATGGGACTAAACATACATCCTGGATTCCACTACTGGACGCATTCCATTTATTTCATATAAATTTTAAGTTACCTGTTCAAACTGTACTTCGTTTTAGACAGTTGGGTAGTATCATTAGCCTTCAAACTAAACATTTGGCTCAGATTGACTACATAAAAGTCTATTTCGTTGGATGAGTTACGTTTAAGTGAGATAAACGACAGGACTGGTAAGAATAAAATTTCCTAAATTATTTCCTATTTTCAGTCACATATGTGTACACAAATCAAAATGGTGTCATATATTTACTACTTATAAAATCACATTTCTGTGTATTATGTAAGTGCAATTAATTTTAGACTATCAATTACCTGGATTATACAAAATACTGAGAACTAAAACAGATATGTGCATCTGTACATTGTGTGTGTCTCTGTGTCTTCATGTGCGTGTATGCACATGTTCGTTCAGTCGAACATAATGATTAGCTAATTGTACTTAATCATTACTTAATAAATAAGTTTAGTATTTAATGTGAAACTTAATGAATGATCCAGTGAGAATGTGGGAAACATTTGTTTATATTTTAATAAAAAGATGTAATCAGTGATTATTGGTATCACTATTATTATTATTATTATTATTATTGTCGATTAGCAGTAGCTTAATCACCGATTAAAAGAGATGTCAATCATTAGAAGTTTATAATTCAATTACTTGTTGTTCATACAAATCTAACAGGGCACTACTGTTTAATGTGCTACATGATCATACTTTGTAATTGATGTGGAAAGATGTTGTATGTGACCTAATGAATGGTTGTTTTCTTTCATCATCATCATCGTCATACATATAATACTCTCTAACTTATTACAAGATCATTAACATTATTTTTGTGATTATTACAATAAAGTTCAGTTTTTGAATGTATTTATAATGTGTATTTGTAGTAATACTGTATAATTTGGCCTCATTCCAAATGAGTATTTTGGATGCATAAATTACACTATGGTGATAGTTCACTACTAGTGTTTAAATATAAATAGTTGAAAATTAAATGTATAATGATCTGATATTTCTACTTGATACATCACTGGATGATTCCTGTTTTTACTTATCAGCTATGTGTTTAGAACCTTCGTCTCATTTTTTGATTTATTGATTGATGTATTGTAGATCGGAAAATAGTGACGGTTTAAATCCCACAGGAACCATTATTTTCCACAAGACTCCCAATTCCCTTAGTGATGATAACTCTGAACTAGTACGAAACCTAGTTCCAGGGCATTCTGTCTATAACTCTAAATTACCTATCGTAAAACAAGCATATAACAGTTTGGTTTCATTTAGCCTGGTGACCGCATTGTAACTTCGTTGGCATATTTGCACCCTGCGCGGATCCAAATCACTGCAAATCAAAATAAATTTCATACCCGCTGCACAAATGAGTGGCTAGTTGAATTCATCATTTCAATGGATAACGCTTTAGTGTCTGAAGTGGACGATACTGGGTTTGAGTAGCTGAGTGAACATCAACTCTGGGACGCAGTTACATCCATCTGACGAGTCCCACATAGGATTAGACTCACGTCCTGGATTCCACTGCTAGACACACCTCATCAGTTTCCTTTTTTTTCCTGAAAACTTTACATCAGTTTACTTTATCCCCTATATATTTACTTATGTGTTGCATTACTGTTTTTTTCCAACCTGACTACATTTGTGTAGAATACAGTGACTACCATGTCAAATTCGAAATCCAGTACTACAACAATACAAAGTAAGACAAATATGAATGAAATTCAGAAGATCCGTTCTCGTGGTGCATCATTATCTGCTAAAGGTTCTACAGTACGTACTTCAAACACCACCAGCAGTGTCACCGCCACAACGACTACTACCTCTGGGAGGTTATCCAGTACAACCATAGACAAGAAACCTCAAGTCATTGTGACGAAATTAGACAAGCGAATAACTAGTAAACCTGACCCATCGTTACGTACAGGACGGGTAGATTGTACAACAAATCTCACTTCTAGTAGTACAAATGCTTCAAGATCTAATCTTACTGATCGTTCTAGAGGAAGATTATTTAATCAAACTAACATTAAAGGTTAGCAGTTTTAATAATAATACTTCTATTGATTACTTCTGTTTCTCCATAATAAGTCATATCCAAAATGCTTTTTTTGTTTGTACTGTGACATTATTTTACAAAGGACACAAAAATATCTTGAGATGATGGAGAAAATGGGTGCATAAGGAGGAAAATATTAAGAATTTACTGTTATTTCAGCTATGTGGTTTAATCGTGGAGCTTTTAATGTCGTTCAAAAATAGATTGCTTTCTCACGCCTGTTACCCCTCGTGGAGCAGCATACTCTGCCCACTATGAATATCCATCGAACTCTCATCTGGATAATCTCTTCCAGTTGCTATTCATCCTATAGATACCTGCTTCAAATTCCCTACCCCATGTGTTCTTGGGTCTTTTTCCTTTATTATTCCGAGTTTGGGCTTGTCTAGTGATGTAGTTTGATGATTTCCACATTGTGTATCCTATCCACCTCCAACGCGTTTTCTCAATTTCCTTTTCAGATGTTTGTTTGTTTGTTCTCTCTCACAGTAAATTGTTGCTCATGGTATCCGGCCAACAAATACTGAGTATCTAGGGTATACAATTGTTTATCAATACCTTTAGCATTTTGATTATGGTTGTACAAGTTCTCCAAGTTTCTGCTACGTACAGTAGAACTAATTGTCTTGACGTTCGTATTGAAGATTCTAACTTTGATATTGGTTGACAGTTGTTTTGATTTCCATACGTTCTTCATCTGTAGGAATTATGCCCTTGATTTGTCCATCCTTGCCTTTGCGTTATTAGTATATATTCCAAAAAAACAAACCAACCTATTCGACGTTTTCCACATCTTGTTTCTATTGTCATGTTATTTGATTAGTTTTTATCCGTGGTTTCGCCGTCATTGTTTCCATGCTTATTTCAACTACCTTGTTTCTTAACCTCATCTCTATCGAAGATATTTGCTGGTGATTTTGTCTAGAAAGAAAACAAAAGCTTCACAATTAAATCATTAAATTCAGCGAACGCGGCCTATGTACAAAATGTCAATAGATTCCTTAAAAAGCCCCTCTAGTTGTTCTCTACCTTATTACATCTATTTCAGTTTTCCTTACTTTTTCTGGCAGACTTTTTTTATAAGGAGCTTATATACTGTGAAATTTCTTAAGTGACCGGTAATCATTCAATGAGCACATAAATTATCATTTAAGTGTACATACAATTTTGGAACATTCTGTATATCATGTATATATGATACATCATCTGTCTAGTCGAGGAGACGGAGGATGTATTTGTGTGTGTGTGTGTGTGTGGAATAATGATAACAAATTGCTTGAAAACTATAATATTCGGATCGTATATTTTTGTATGAATTTTATTCTATGCAACTCTCATTATGTATTCCTGTGACAATGGTGAGAAAAAACAAGCAGTTGTACAACATGGAATAATCAATAATAAGTCTGTTAAAATAAGTAACCCCACTCTAAATTAAAACAAATCGACAATAATACCATTTCTAATGTACTACTAATTTGTATTCGCAAACAGAATAGCATTATTAACTTAGTAGTGTTATTTTGTTTCGATTTTATCCACTGCCTGTTCATTTATGTTTACGATGAAAATACAGTTCACTGAAGCCTTTCAAATAACCTTGAGAAAGTAAGATCAGTTTGTAGCTAATCAAAATTCCAATGATATACATGACTAAGTTGTTAATTTAAAACTTAAAAAAAGGATAACGACTAGAATTAGGGATTAGGATTTATGTTTAAGAGTTATGATACTCTCACATTATGTACTCACTGGTGACTAGCTTCTAGAGGGAATTCTTGAAGTTCTAGTGAGAAACCATGATCAATGGAGTTTAACCGTATCGAGTATGAGGCAGTTACCCACCAAAGACAATGGAAGATGGTTGCGCGATATCGTGGATTTGTTGAATTTAGATACTAACGCTGTTTGATGCCGACTCAGGTTAAGCGTTCTGACGCGAGACTGAAGATCTTGGGTTCGATCCCTGAGTGCAATATTGTGGATGCACACTGTTAAGGAGTCCAATACTAGGACGAAACAGCCGTCCAGTGCTTCCAGGTTTTCAATGGTAGTCTAATATTGATCGATTCATGATTTCAATGAAATTTAACAATATCCATAATCCCAAACTGAAAATTAGAAGTTTTGTCTAAAGCTAATAGCTAATAGATTTTTAAAAATGCTTATTTATACAGTTGGTTCATGGGCAATGAATATGAAAAACCTTTAAGTTACATTTATATATATTCACAAATTACGGTTCATATTCCTATCGTGATTATTAACTTTAACCATATTAGAGACTAATTACTGACAAATATTACTCAACTTTCCATAGAAAAAAATCGGTTAGCTAAGTGTATCCGTAACATATTCAATTTTCAACAATTATGTTGCATCCAAACACTTCTTATGATCTTTTCGTCCTTTTATTGAGAGACTATTTGCATATCAGAATATAATTTTGATTGAAATTATCTATAACCTACCCCTTGTGAATATATCAATGTGAATGAAGCAGTTCAACATACCTGATAAAAAAAAGAGAAAAATATGACAAAACTTAGAGCTTTAAACAAACTTTTTTTTCGCGAAAATCACATCAGTCATCTACAATGTAGGACCAGGCACATATGTGCATCGGTCCAAGTTGCCATACTTCATTAACATAACAAGATGAACACCGGATCTATAGAACTAGTTAATTCAGTGGTGGTAATATATAAAAGAAAAATTTTATGTAAGGATACTTTGCAGTAAAAAAAAGAATTAGTTGGTAGAAAGAAAGATATGAAGCGATTTTAATCTCACAATTTAAGGGAATACAGAGAGTGTATACACCTACGTCATTGTGATCGATTCTGAACCATGTCACCCACATTCTCCAACCATTGGTTACGATAGTCACACGGACTCCAACCAAGTAGTCTGCATCTACCAACATAGCTGAGATCAAAAGTTAGTGACTTCAAGCACTGATGCCACGTTTTGGTTTGACCGCCCCTAACTTTCTTCCAACCATTCCCAACACTAGTCAGCATTGTGCGTGTTCTGGCATTACATTCTATTATACGAAACCAAACCGTTAAATTGATACTAAAATAATAATAAATACTGGATACAATACATTTATTGAACAACCAACAGATAGTTTCAAAAATATATATGATTATTTGTTAGCTATTAAATTACAATTATTTTGTAAACATCTTGACTTTTTTTAATGAAAAAAGTATTTGTTACTTTGAACAATTAAAAATGTATAAAGTTTCATCTGTCGGCGATTATGTTCCCAAGTAATTTAAATGTTACTAGTGAATTCATGACTGTCTAGTAACTAATGACGTAATACACGTCATAATGTGTTGATTGAAATTTCGTTGAGTAAATATGAGTCTTTTTTTATAATTATTTTAATTATTACACAGTCGAATCAATATATATGGTTAATTGTTCGAATCATATTGTAGATATCAATGAAAGGTTTCAGATACATTCAAATGATAAGTTCTGAATAGGACGAGATTCACGTTTTGAATTCTACTGTGAATCACAATCCAAATGTATTAAACTTATATAGGTTTTGCATTGAAATCATGAACTGTTTTAAGTTTGACGACAATTGAAAATCTAGAAGCACGGGAGAGCTGTTTGGTAATAGTATAGGATTCTTCAGTAGTGTGCATCCACGGTTCCTCTACCAGGTATCAAAACTAGGATCTTCAGTATTGGACGCGAGTGCTTAACCTCTTGACTACTGAGCCAGTGTTAAGTAGTATGCATGTCTAACTTCACCCATTTATCGAAATCTTTGAATGTTATTGAGGTCACCAAACCGATCTAAGTTAGTCAATCATCGAAAACCTCTAAGCACTGGATATTATCAAAATCATAATCCTGAGATACGAATATTCTCATTTATTTCATTAATATTCCGTTCTTGCCATTCTTATAACCACTATTATTATCCTGTTATTCATTGTGTTGCAGAGCCCAACTGAATATGAATGGGGCTATTACTCGGAACTGATATCATGTGAAAAACTTTTTTAAACAGTTAGCACTTGATAGTTGTTTCGTTCTAATTTAGAACTTCTCAGTAGTGTACAACCTTGATACCTCCAAAGATTGAACCCACAACTTCAGTTTTCACGATGAAAACAATACTGTTGTGTACTTTTAGCCCGGCTAATTATCGCGTGACTTGTTCATCAATCGGAGTACGACACTTACAATCTTAGCACTATGCCAAACCAATGATGTATCGACCAGTATGAGCAGCCTAGCGTCCTTATTAGTACTTTATCCTCCTAACCCTGCCAGTTGTGTCTAGAACACCAATACCAGCTCCCACTATACGAATCATTTATTTCAAACATACCTGGTTTATATACAAGCCAAACAGACTACATCACACCACAAAATAGTAAATAACATTTGTGCAAGATCTAGACAAAAGTGGTTGTGATTGTAGGAGACTGTAATTAATAAATTGAGTATGGTTTAAGGATAGTAAATCAAAATGAAGCTTATAATAAGAGGAATATAGATATACATAATCTAATTACTGAGTAGTTATACAATAAAAATATACGTATAATATTAGTCCACAAATAGGTCCCAACAATTATCTTTAATCAATACCAATGTGGAACATACTGATCCATATTTCCATCTTCAATCAATTTTTTAAACACTACAATCGTCATTTACTATTCGCGCGATATTTCCCTTACTGTTAAACTTATTGAACTTCATTGGTCACAATTGTCTATCATACGTTCTGTAACTTATCTTAAAGTTAATAACTAGTGGGCAATAATTATAGCAAGAATGCAAACTTTGGTACAGTATGTTCCTTTTTAAACATGATGCTTTTGATTTTCCGCAATTAAGTTTATTATTGCACAGAAATGTGATCATTTTAGTTTGCATAATATCTCGTGATCATTATATATTTCACCATGTTATATTTCATTTACATAAAATATTTCAGGACCTACACAGTCAAACAGAACAAATGTTAAACCTCCATTCTCGGTTGGTGGACGTCGAATTTCCGCCGGTGCTGCATCACTAACAAGTCAACGTACAGCTCCTAGCCAATTAAATCGATCCAAAGTTTCAGTGGTAACACGTGGTTCAGTACACTTGTCTACTACAGGTTTAACAGATTCACGTTCTAATCTACGTGGGGCATCGTCTGCAACTAGACAGTGTAAATTTTCTCTTACCTCAGTTTTGTCTACTTTATATTTTGTTGAGAGGATAGAAAAAATACTGGGATTGAGGTTTATTTACTTATCCAAAATATAGTTTACAATCAGAAAATGTTAATTTTATCATTTAACAGCCTTTTAGTTTAATCTAATTAGTCATTCAAACCAGTTTCAAGTAATGGCTTCCAACTTTTAATTTCGTTGAAATACATTCAAGCTTTCAAAACGTATATGCTTATATACTTCAAGTGATCACTTAGTCTTATCCAGTGTCATGTTTTCTTAGTCCTTTATTGTTGATTGAATTCTATCAGTCAGGTTTGAATATGGTTGCTTGTCTAATTGACTTTACATCATGTGCACTATGTCTTGAAATTAAGTGGTTAGAGTTAGTTAGAAAAATGCGCTAGTTCATCTACGTTTGGTGCTAGCTGATAGTTGGCTAGTAGACAGTATTCAGGAAATTAATGTTCATCGGTGCTTTCATACTCGGATAATCTAACCTCACATTCTAAGACATTACCACTAAGCTATCCGGGCTACGGTTGTTTAATCGTTTAGTGCTGATCGAATTTTATCCATCTAGTTTTGCACTCATTACTGCGGAAGTGTTTGAGTTTGTGGTTTTTTTTTTATCTTTGAAGTGAATAATACTACTGTAAATTGTATTGATTTTGTTATTGAGTTAACTAATTTGGTGAACAGATGGTGATGAAAAAAATATTACATAGTGAAACCCATTGTGAGATAAATCCATATACATTTTGTATAGATTTTAATACTGCATTCAGGTTTGTATTGTTTCTCGTCATTATTCATTTCTAATCAATTTGTAACGTTTTCGATATTGACTAATATCGTCTAGAAAACCAGCATGCACTGAGTACATTTCTACACGCCAACGACCTCATTTTTGACTGAACTTAAGACCATTAGATCTTCAGGCGACCATCATCTCTTTGGATCACCGAGTTGAAATCCAGCGATCCATGTTTCCAATCTCAGTCGGTTTCTAACAATAATTGATTTAATACACGTTGAGTTGCCAATGATCGTATTTAATAGGTGTTTTGTCACATTGTTTTTCAAGTGATCTGAAACGACATTCGGATTGCTGTACTAAATGTGTTCTATTATTAAATCCTTGAAAAAAATCTTATTTTTATCATCTTGATTTTTCTTAGCAACTGTACAATATCGTGGTGTTAATCGTAGCTTTATGACACCGACAACAAGTTCCGATGCAAAACAAGTAAAAACAAGAGAATCTATTCGCTCAATGCCAAATGAAAGTCCAATCTCTTCATCACCTAAATGTGATTCTCGTCGAACTTATGAATCACCTATAGGAAATAGTGCTAAAAAACCCATAACAAGTACATTTTTACGTCGTGGTACTACTCAAGGACGTGTTGGAATCTGTCGTAAATTATCTACTGATAATATTAATCAATACTCGAACACTAATAAATCTTCATTATGTGTCTCTGATCGAATAGCATCTGTAGTTTCTACCATTGAAGCTTACGATGATCCAAAAGCTTATTTATTTTATCGAATGTTTCAAGGTGTAGAAGAAATTGAAACCACAACAACTGATGGTATATTTCAAGCATTTTCACCATATTCATCAATGGACTTTCAAAAACACTTTTCATCTGAATCCAATGATACAAATGAACAATTAGATTATCATTTACATGGTTATGGCATCAATGAAAAATTTCAAAATTTTCAAACGAATTCGAATGTACAAAATAAAGTTAGTGATTGTATTTATTCCTTAACTTTATGCAAATTATTTTTCATGGGAAGATCTGTATGTATTTTACAAGAATAGCTTCTCTTACTAACTAATGTCAACTAGGAAAAGGCCTTAGAAACTATAAAATATTTAATTCTAATGTTTGATTAGAATTTGTTTTTGAATTTATTTTTGTAAATCGAAGGGCTCTTCGGCAGTAGTTCATGCTAATAACCCTGCAGGGAAACAAACTCATAGGCATCAGACTTTTCAAAGATGTACATAATAATATTCGGACGCCAAACTCAAATGCATTAGTTTGGATTGTCTGTTTCAAATAGTTTTTTTTTTAATACACCGAGTTCTTTAGTCAGTATGATCATTTATTTACTACCTTACTCTCAATTTCCATGACTGAATAGGTTACATCTAATGATCTGTTATTTTATAAATTACATTTCAGTTGTTGTGATCATGAGTCAATTGAAGCTAGACCACCATGAAAAACCTGGAAGCACTGGACGGCCGTTTGGTCCTATTGTGGGACTCCTCAGCGGTGCGCATCCACGATCCCGCCTCGCGGGATACGAATCCAGGACCTACTGGTCTCGCGCGCGAGCACTTAACCACTAGACCACTTAGCCGGCTGGCATCCAACAGTGTTAATGTCTAAATTCAACTAACCCACGAAATTGAGCGACACATCCACCATTGTCATCAGTAAGTTACTGCCTCACAACTGACCCGGTTGAACTCCAGGATATACATCTTGAAAGCCAGTCACTAGTGAGCATATGTTGATTATTATCAGAACTAATGATGGTTTTCAGCTTGCAAAATGCAGCTTCACACTCTTTTGTTCAGTTCCAAATAGTATTCTTATTCAGAAGATAGTGTAGTGGAGCGCGTATGTCATACATCGACGGAACAAAAGCTGAGTAGTAGCTAATTAATCCCAAGAATGATCGTAACTCAATGATATTAGTGGGGGTCGGCATCAGTTTTATAGCTCGGATGTTTTCAGGATCTGGTCTGCGACTTGCGGCATCAAAGATGAATCCCAAGTAGTTTACTGACTTCAAGAAATGCTGACATTTTTCTGGGCGTAATCGGAATCCGTTGTCGCTGACGCGTTTTAGTACAACTGTCTTGCGTTCTCGAAGGTGTTCTAACGATGTGGCAACAATTAAGATGTCATCGGGATAAGTTGCGACCCCCGGGATACCCGATGGAATGGTATCCATTAGTTTCTGAAAAATAGATGGAGCTGTCTTAACACCAAATGGTAGGCGATTGTGCTGAAACAAGTCACGATAAATATTGATGGTAAGTAGCTCTCTGGATTCTTCATTCACTTCCACTTGTAAATAGGCATCAGCTAGATCCAGCTTTGCAAAGAACTTCCCACCATTTAGCATTGTGAACAAATCTGCAGGGACTGGCAGTGGGTAATGAGAGCTGTGTTAAGACCTGTGGAAAAATCTGCGCATATTCGGATTGTGCCATTAACCTTCTTAATAACCACAATGGGTGCTGCCCAGGCAGAATAAGAAACAGGTGTAATAACTCCCTGTAGTTGAAGGCGGTTTAGTTCTTCGTCAACTTTCGATAATGCTGCGTACGGCACTGGTCTCTTTGGACGGAAGACAGGTACCAACCGAAGTGTTGCTTTCATAGCGGTGCACTGACCCAATACAGGCTTGAAAATGGTTGAAAACTCCGTCACTAGTTGTTTCGAATATGCTTCAGGTTCATGAGGTTGTTTCATCAGATGGCATACGGTGCTTAACGGAACGTCAGCTAAATGTAGCCGGTCAAACCAAGTAGATTAAGATCAGCTGGTGTGATGTAACATGCCCCGGTAAACGTCGAGTCGTGAAAAGAAACTTCAAAATCTAGTTGTCACAACAAACGTAGATAATTACCGCATGCAGTACGAGGTTTTTGTGTCGTTGGCACCGTGCGTGGTCTTTCCATTCTGATCCAGTATTTTCGTGAGAGAATTGTTACGTCAGATGCGGTGTCTATTTGCAATCTAAACGAATGGCCATTAATTTTAAGGGTAATAAATTTCCTCTCACCTGGGGTTGAGTTCTGACAGGTTGCTATTAGACTCAACGAATTTGTGCCAGATCTAAGGACAGGCTTTCTGGTACCTCTGGAGCTGCTCGGCTTCTTTTTCTTGACAGAAACCATCTTTATGACCCACAGCTTTATGTTTCCTGCACCGGTGTTGTTTATATGGAAAGCTTCGCCGTGCACTACAGTGCCAGCATGGAGCAGGAGGATTTGTTTTTGTCTTTTGACGTGAACTAGATGTCTCTGGGACAGATTTATGCGGATTGGGTGGTTGTTGAACTACATGAACTTCGGTATGATCTGAATCACCAAGCTGGACCATCGTAGTGTCACGCTGCAGATTGATTAGACGTTGATATTCGTTTGCAATATTATTAAGAGTTAGTTTTGGGTCTTGGTCCAATTTACTTAGCAAGCGTGTTCTAATGTCACTGAACTTCTGCGATGGAAGGCTGCAGATGAGAATGAGGGCTTTAAATTGGTCTTCAGTAAACGACTTCAACCGGAAGCGTTCGCATTCTCAATTGAGGATACCACATGTGTGAGAAAATCAGCATCTTCGTTCATAATGAGCTTCAAACGTCGATAGCGCACATTGAATAGTGAGGAGTTGTCTCCGAATTGTTGGCTCAATGACTGGACAGTGTCCGATTTCTTTCCTAGTCATCTTGTTAATTTCGTCTTGTCATGCTAATACATTAATAGGAACTTAGGCCAACGTACATTTGTGCAAAACCCTACTTTTATTATTTCCGATTAGCTGATTTCCTTAATCAATAAACTACTGCAGCACGACAGTTTTGTTAATATTATAAATGAGTCATGAATGATCGCTATACATGTACTCAACACACTGTCTATAAGTGAAAATTCGCTTCATTTTAATAACTAAAGCTTATTTCAAATTTTCACTTATCTAAATCACTTACAGTTTTCTGGGTTACTTTCGATTGATGATGAAGAAACACCTTATCAAGATCTTCCTTCTCATCGTTCTGATTTAACAACCATATCAACTTCAAACAGTAGGACATTAGCAACAAAAACTCCAATGTATTTATCGAAATGTTATACAAATGAAATCCCGACAGATCAAGCTCAAAATATCGTTAAATCTTCAACTGTATCCAATAATAAAATTAACTGTACAATACATGAGAATGATGATGCAACAATGGATCCAACATTAAAATCAATGAACCTATCCATGTTTGTTAGTACTTCTGTCATTAGTTTAACACCAAGTCAAACAGGAACTTATGTAATTGATGGAGGCGATTGTATTGATGATGATAATGAAGATAATATTAATAATACAAATCAAGATTTCTTACAGCATTCCGATGAGCAAAATATTCATTTATCTAAAGATAATGACTTATTAACACCACGTGGAAGTCCTATAGGAGATATTACGGCAGCGGGTGAAGTACTGAATCGTCAATCTACCAATCGTTTGTCGAATAATCAACAAACAAAACAATTGCAACAGTTTGCGAAAGATTTTGAGGTAAAAATCTGTTAAGTTTCTCTTTTAATATTAGACAATTAATTATATTCTATTGATATTTTAACGTAGAATTCAATTTCAGCAATTTTATCTCATTACATTTAACCTCTTACGTCTATCCCGTAATTTAAATACGTTAGCATACATACACCTTATTTCTTCTACTGTAAAACATGACAATAGGCAGGAATAATCTTATAATTGATGCGGGAAGTTACAAAGTATTTACATAATACATATACATAGCGTTCAATCGCTCATTTGCATCTTTTGGTGTATTCTGCTATCTGAATTATCTCCTTGTCTGGTCTCCAAGTGTTTTGCCTACCCCGTGCTTTCGATGAACTGAAACTCTTCACTCCGCCTAACAATTGTTTCAACTTCGACGCGACGTTTCGCTACATACTACTTTAGATGGTGGTTGGAGGTAGTCAACAGGCAACCCTGGACCCGGGTTTCGTGCTACTTGGCACTCGTCAGCAAGGTGTACCTGTAATCTTGAGGGAACTGGTGCTCCCTGGCGGATTCAATCCCGTGTCGATCGAATCCGTCAGGGAGCACCAGTTCCCTCGAGATTACAGGTACACCTTGCTGACGAATGCCAAGTAGCACGAAACCCGAGTCCAGGGTTGCCTGTTGACTACCCCCAACCACCATCTAAATCTCAATACATAGTGCCCGCAGTGTCGAGTCACCTAGACTGGTGGCCACATTGCAACATGATCGATAGCATTCGATCTTCACTAATAAGGACTAGACAAGCATGGCATTGATCACCACCCAGTGATCAATCAATTGTGGCTACATACTACTTGCAAACAGTCTTGTGAGTAGTGTCCACTACAATACAGTAAAAATATGCTGGCTTACTTTCTCAGTGTTAGTGATATTTTCTAGTAGGTACAAACTACTTTTATCGTTAATTTATGTCGTAGTTCCCTTTTTTGGTAATAAAAATCAGTTTTTCAAAGCAAGAAAAACAATTCTAGTCAATCACTTGTAAACTTAATCGAATTTATATCACAACATGTGGTCTGATTGTTCATTATGTGTTCGTTTAAACTAAAATGAATACAGCTGGCCCAGTTAATAATGAACAACAACGAGCGATAAACACGTAGGAACAACACAAGATTTCCTTGTAACAAATCAGATTGAGCAGTGAAAGTAGAAACTTAATTGTCGTCAAAGATTATTAGTTTTTACGTCTTATAACGCATACAGTTCCTGTATGACTTCTTCCTCTTCATTCAGTTTTGTCCTATGATGAAAAGTACACATTTGCGGTAAAATAGTTAAATCTAATGATTGAAATATCATCACATTACTTCGTATCAAATGAACCACTCTCTAAAATCAAAACATTACATTTTAATGTTAACTCCGATCTACTACATTCATACATCACAGCACATACATTAAAAGAACTAATAGAAAGGTACATGTACTATGCATTAATGGATATCGTCTCAAGTAAATTAATATTCTCAAGTGCCTAAATTGTTAACATTGTAATCACTTAACCGTTAAGTACTAGCAATTAGGGTATTTCTACCCCTCGTTATACTACCATATTTTGATTTCACGCAGCGGCCTAGAAGCTGTACTCACGACTCGGATTGACTCGTTCGTCCCTATACAATAATTTTACTGATATTTTTATACTGCTCAAGGTAATTAACAAATAAAATTGTATAACGTTGTTTCTTAATGAGGAGCGGTTAGTGTCAAAGAATTCAAATCTATTCGACACATACGGAAAGGATGCAGTTGTCAATTAATCATTGTCGTTGTATTATGAAATTTTGTTTTACGCTCTCCCGTGCACTGGAAATGTATTTTGGTTTAATTTTTATCTATAAAAAAGTCATTATTATTTATGTACTCCAATTTGTTTCCATCATTTATCTAGAACTCCATGTTGTCTGTTGAACATGTACAAACACATACAGCAGCGCATCATCAATATTCTGGGAATAAACGATTGAATGATTCCATTTCTACAGTAGATTTAACTAAAACCTCATCAATTGAGAAACCTTTATGCATAACTAGTTCAACTGTATGTCTTACTGAAACTCATGACAATACACTACAGGATTCTAAAAATAAAAAAGATGTTTTACCATGTGTAATTGATAACTTAGAAGATTCTGATCATGTTGGGGCCTCGTTAACTAGTTTAACACCAAGTCACACAGGTACTTATATTCTTGATATAGATGATACATTAATTGCACAAGGTGTCCTACCTGTCATTATTCGTAGCCGTGAAACTTTAGCTTCTTCAGTAACAACAATCGATTCTGGTCTAAATGTTGAATCAGCGATGAATACACACGGCGTCATTGTAGAAAATATTACACCCAGAGGTAGTCCCATTTCAAAAGAGAAATTATGGCATATTGTAGAAAATGATAATGATGATAAAGGCAGAGACAACGACCTGGTGCTGGTCACATCAAATCAAAGCGGTAGACCATACAATATTCCATTTGATAATTGTGATAACGAATTAACTGGACAATTTACAATCGAGTCGTTAAGAGCTGAATTTGAAGATACGTATAAATTACTCCCATCACCTAATCAATTTGTTGATGGTACTGATAGTAGTGGTAACGATATGAATATTGTGGAATCATCAATACCGGTAAGATTTTTTTCGCCTGTTGTCAAATTAAACATATATATATATATATATATATATATATATATATATATAATTATTTTATTATTATGCTTCTTTATACTTATCATTTGTTGTTGATCAAGTGGTGTAGGACTAGGTTGGATGAAAGCTAAGAGCGGCCAGACCAAAACATGACAAAAATTCATGAACTTACTGACAAGTGGACTGAGCCATGTTGGTAGGTGTAGACTACCTGGTTTTGATCCGCGAGATGATAGCAACCGATGGTTAGAGACCTTGAATAACATGGCTCAAAATCGTTTACAGTGGCGCAGGTGCATCCACTCTTTGTGTTCTCCTGAATTCTAATCTTCTGAAATCTTCATGTTCCTTTTTTTCTCTTTCCAAATTTATTTCACTGGATTATACTCATCGAATAACATCAAACCCTAATGTTTCCGATTACTACTTATGCTTTTACTATCTCTACCACTATGGGATTTGAGTTGACAATTATATCTCTGTGCTAATGTAATGTAGTATGGCAACTCGAGCTGATATACGTACTTACAAAGTTCTACGTTGTTGCTGACTGACATCCTCAATTCTGAGTTGTTTGTTAGTATGTTCATTTGAAGTGGAATATGTCAAATTTCATTGAATTCAAGCATTTTCAAAATTTTCTCGTATGCCGAACTTTAATTCTTACTTTGAAATATATATTAAGTAGTTTCCTATGCTTTAATTAAAACAAGATTACTAAATAATAATGACTTATTACGGTTGATACAAGCGTTACTAAAGATAAGATAAAAAACATACCCGTTAGAAAATTTAGTGGATATGTGGAATGATTGTTCCATCGGATAATGTGTTTGCGTTTAAAGCGAAAGGTACAAGTTTAAGTCTCAATGTGAACAACAGTAGTGAGTTGTAGTGATATCCAGCTGACAAGTCCTAAATTGGGACGAAGTGGGCTTATATGGGAATAATCTTGTTTAAAAAGATTTAAAAGCAAGAAGAATCTGAACAGTAGATAGATGGTACAGTGACCTAGTGGTTAGATTTTTTTGACTGTCTACCATTAAGTTTTAAGTTGAAACCCTATTTCACTTTTTTCGTTTAGATCAGTCTAATAGTATCAATAAACTTTCACATAAGCATTGTGACTTAAAGTTGAGTAAATGTTGAACTGTAATAATTTGAAAAGTAGTTATGTCATTAATAAACCATGAATAATGATTAGAATATGAGTACATTTTTCATTATAGACTGAAATAAGTGAATAACATTACGAAACTAGAAGGCACTGGATAGTTAATTTTTCCCAATTCGCAACCCCTGAGCAAATATCCAGGATCATACATGAACTTGAACTCATATATGTCAGTTTTTACTTTTCTACCTGGTCCCAAACGTGGGTCTAATAATAGTCTAACTCTATATGAATTTCAGCTCATGATAAATGTTTATAAATTTCACTATAAACCTAACTTTATAAATAAGAGTTCTCGAAAAACATGTGAAAATATTCTGACTACAAGTTAAGTGAATACTTTGAAATAATATACTCATCTGTAGTTTTTATTGTGCTCAAATTTATACAACTGTATACACTCTTTGTAATTTAATCATTCCTAACAATTTGTTCAATTAGTCATCCCAAGACAAGTAAAGCTGTAAATCAAGCATATAGTTCTGTATACAACAGTTGATGAATTGTTTTGTCAATTTACTTATAGTCTAATTTAGGCTTTCGACTACTAGGTCGGTAACATTCATGACTGTTCATTTTCTATTCTCATACGAGAATCTATAGTCACAAGTTTATTATACTTTCAGGTAGTAGGGAGCATAGGAATCCAGGATTTACATTTTGTTGTAATTTGTGACTCTAGCTGCATGTATCTGCATCTCAGTATTGGTGCTCGCACAGAAATTCGAAACTAGTACCTACTACTTGAAAATCTAATGCGTTATCCATTAGACTACTGATTCGCGTTAATCACAGACATTTTCAATCGCTCTAACGCGTTTGCATTTAAAGTGATATGTTTTGGGTTCGAATCTTACTGTGAACATCGAAACTTTACTGCAGATACATCCGAAATGGAACAAAATACACTTCCTAGGTCCCGGTACTAGTTACTAGCCAATATTATATTCGAAGAAACCTCTGTACAAGTTCCCTAGCTATCTTTCTAACTTTCCTCTCATCTACCTTATCTTGCTGACTTTAAAATATTAAGTTATGTTTGCCTGATTTTTATTTTCTCTGTATTTTCTCTTCTATTTTCCACTTCTTGTACTTATTTACTACTGGTTGGTTGATTTATTGTTGAGTATAAATATTTTTGGTTTCAATCAGTCAGTTAGTCAGTCAGTCAGTAAATAAACTTTGTTAGCCAATAGTTTCTATGATTGTCGTCATTTTCCTTCTTCACTTATGTGCGTATGTATGCGTGACGAGTACTCCTTATCCATCTTCGAAATTCCAATTTTCCTCTTCACAACCATATGTTTTGGATTATTATTTATCATCATCGTCATCACTGTCATTGTTGTCATCGTCATTTTTACCTTCTGTGATTACGTAATCGCTCTACGGGTTCATTATTATGAAATCTGTTGTCTTGTGATTTTAATGCTGAGCTTAAACAAAACAAAAGAATTTCCATGTGTCATTGTTTTTTCACAATATTATCAGGCATAATTTAGTTAATTAAAATGGATTTTACAGGACTTCTAAAATTTATATCTAATCGTCGAAATGCGGTGAGTTGATGTTGCCTGACATCTACATTTTTCGATTTTCGGATTATAGTAATAACAATAATGATAATATCGTGCATACTATTATTACATTTAATTTGTCTATGCGTCTTGTATTATTTTGCCTAGATTTAAATCACATAGAGTAGTGACCATACCTGTTACTTGCTCGATAGAATTCGATCATTACTACGGATTAAACATACATGATATTGGTCACTGTGTAGTGGTTAATCAGTTCAACAATCCTAAATTGAATTAATTGTTGATCACATTCGAATAAATCTAACAAATTAATCTACAATATTTTGATGACATTTAAATGTTATTTTGTATTAGTAAATGAATGCTACTAAACAATAATTTCAAACCAAAACGCGACGTTGGTCCGTAGATTCATTGACTGTTGAACTGAGCTATGTTGTTAGGTCAGCTACTACCAGAATGAGGTCCTCACTTATATCTTAACCGATGGTTGAAGACGTTGTATGATACTCCTTATGTGGTGAACGAGAACACAAGTGGACACAATCGAATATATTTGAACACAAAATTGCAGAACATGTTAGTAAAATCTGAAAACCATACAGTCAATCGATTGTCTCAAACTTGACTGTTCCTTTTGCAAATATCAGTCGATTGTCTCAGACTTCATTGTTCTTTCGTTTCCACACCAATCATTCTTTGATCTTTTTAACCTTCTGCCTCCAGGAATTTCACTTTCAACTGATGATACATACTACTTATGTCTGTTAATACTAGTAGCACATATTACACTCAGAAATGGTTGCGATATCGTAGATCCATTTACTAATTTTAACTATATCTACTTCGTTGATAATTTTATCTCGTGCTGATATTAATATGACAACATGAACTAATGCACTTATGAGGCAGGTTATTTGTTGCATATAACTAATTGACTAACTGAGTAATTTCAAGATAGCATCAAAAATTGTTATAGCTTGTGGCCTGAGTGCCCTGTTGATGTATAACGTGATAATACCACCAATTAGAGAGCAGTGAATTATCGATCAGACCAATGACACATAAAACCCATACGAGCAGTCTAGAGTACTTATCGGTCCAGAACAACAAGCTTAGCCTCTGCTTTATGAATCATTTATTTCAAACATATTGGGTTTATATACCAACCAGACAGACCACATCGTACCATAAAATAGGAAACAACATTTATACAAGATTTAGCCAAATGTGTCTGTGAATGTGAGAGATAGTAATTGATAGACTGGGTATAACTCAAGAATGTTAAGTCGTATAATAATAGTTTTATAGGTCAAAATAAAGTTCATAAGGGGGACATGAATATGAATAGTTTAGCTAATTAACAATTATACGATAAAAAAAATATAGGTATAGTATTGGTCTATAAATGGATCCCAAAAATTACCATTCATTATTCCTATCGGGATATAACAAAAATACTACAAGATTGATTAAATTGAATAATTCTTTTTTTATATTTTGTTATTGTCCAATTTTCTTTCTTTCTTTCTTTCTTTCTACTAGCAATCCGAATCTCATAGATCACAAATGAAAACAACTAATACACATTCTGTACAAGGGAAAGAATCTAATCGAACAATGCCCTTAGTGAATACTTCAAATTTTACATTACAACATATAAATTATTTTGTTAAGCCTAAATCAATCAATTGTGCTGAAGTATCAAATAATCTTCAAAATGATTTAATTACCAAACAAAGTATTATTCACAATACATATACACAGAATAATGAAAAATATTCCAGTGTTCATAGTAAGTGTTTTATTTATCTGTTTATTTAAGTGTGTATTTTGTCATAATTCTATAACCTATTCAGTCAGTTATCTACAACGGTAGGATCAAGCAGGCCCCATACATATATGCATCGGTTCAAGTTGACATACTTCACAAAACCTCATACAATTAGATTTATAAATATGTATATGAGTTTACTAATCATTTCGAAATGTGTTAGTTGTGTTATTCTTATGAAGTGGTCTTTAATAAGTTAATTAATCCTTTCTATGCTAAATTTCAGTATCTTATTTTTAATACATGACTACAATCAATTCCTTTAGGTTGTATAACACTCATGAAATCCATATGAAGCTTTAGTTTACAATGATTACTTATGGGAATAAATAACTAATTCTTAAAAAGTAATAATAATAAGATATCATTCTTATCAGAGTTTAGTCGCAGCTCCAATGACTCAGTGATACTGAATAATATGAGTTCAAACTCCATGTGTATTGTCATCGGTCTCGTGATTGTGAATGTGTTAGTGACAAGTGCAAACTAAGTAGTTAACTAGATCAAGCAAAGCGTCTTACTGATCACTGTTAATCGTGAAATATCATATTCCTCTTTCAATTTCATTTCCATACCGGTATCAGTTATTTCGTAGTGTATGCTACTTAGGCTGATAGTAGTATGCAACACCTTTATCAGAAGTGCAGTGCTTGCCAAAAGAAGATTGAACTGAAGAAAACGGAAAAGGAAACATAAAGAAATTGAAAATTGAAAGAATCATAAAGGGACAATTGATGAAAGATGTGCAAATGAAGTATTTAATGCTTGGATTCATAATTTATGAAGACACTATAATTTTGCACTAAACGACAAATTGATTTTCCCAACCTGCATCCTCGTTCACTACAGTTATATTTATTTTATTCATTAACTATTTATCCCTACATTATAAACATAATCTACTAGGATTAAAACTTGCAAATGTCATTGTACAGAAATAAGATTTGGTGGGGAAATCCAATCTATTGGTTTATGAAAAATTACACAGTACCTTCGTAGAATATGAAAATAATACATTAAATACATCAGTTGCATATCTTCCTTCAATTCTTCTTTGCATACTTCATCATCCTTCCGATTATGTTATTATTCTTATCGATCTTCATTTTCTTTCCCCTTCTCTTTATTTTAATCTCCTGGTAAACATTCCACTCTCAATTCTTGCTACATAACAATTACATCTGTCCGTATAAGTAATTCACACTACACTATGACCTCTCTACTGCTTTATGTTGTAGAGTAAATTATGGTTGTTTATCCTAATGTAAAAGTTTTTTTAATGATTATCATTCAAAACTGTAGTTTTCTTTATGATCCGTTTTCTCCTTGAAAGTAAATAACAAAATAGTTCTACCTTAAGCATCAATTTATTGTTTTAACGTTCACTTCAGCTTCTACAGTTATAATGGTAAATTATACTGAATTAAATATAAACACTATTTATTTCTATGTAAGACAACGATCAGTTTATCATTCTTATACTGTTAAACGGTTGGAAATCCTAGATGTAGTTAGGTTTTCTGATAGTTGACAATGAAATACCTATAATCTTTAAGGGGAATAATGCTCCTTGTTGGATTCGAATCCATATGATAAAATCAATGCATATAATATATAGAACGTTGTAATTTATTCATGTTTCATATAAAACCATATTTGTAAATCAAATCATTGTATTTTCGAACGATTTAACTCATGTGAAATGAAATGAATTCATTTCATTCTCAATGAGATATTTGTTGTTCAACACTTTATAAAGGTAACACTTCACATTAAGCAGTTTGTATTGTGATTGTAATTTGCATTTTATATTCATTGACTTTTCTAAAATTGTATAAAGAATAAATGACATATCACTAAGATGACAATTAAAAACTATGTGTATTTTAAATTCACTTGGTATTGTTTGTTTGAATCCTCCCACATTCTGCATATTGTGTGTATTACCTCGATATTGTCTTATGTTACAGGCAATATATGCAAAGATGGATAATGGTTAGCAGTGAAGGCCAGGATGCGCGTTTCTTCCTATTCGGAACTCGTCAGCTGAATGTTCCTGCATCTCAGAGTTGATGTACACTCTGGGACTCGAACTCAGTACCGTATGCACATATACCAATAAGAGACTGATCAATTGCAGTCCTAAACATCAATGGGAAGATTCAAGTAAAACAACACCAAGTGAATTTAAACTTCACTTTATTACACAAGCAAGTGGTCATCAGGACTCAGTAGCTAGGTGAATAACGCGATAGAGTTTGAAGCGAATGGTACTGAGTCCGAGTCCCAGAGTGAACATCAACTCTGACATGCAGGTAAATCCAGTTGACGAGTCCCAAATAGGACAAAACGCGCGTCCTGGATTCCATTGCTAGCCACTATCCATCTTTGCATATTGTGTGTATTTTATTTTTGCTCATTTTCTGCAATATTTGAGATTTTCAACGAAACAGTGTTGATTATTATAAACTAGCTTGTAAAGGTAGTCGCTTTTTCGGTGGACAATCAAGTTCGAACTCAACATCATTTTATGTTAGATGTCTAGATAGTACTTTTTAAAAGCTCAGAACAGAGAAATAAAATTGCGTGAATCAAGCTCGGTACCTTGAGTTTCGTATGATTACTGAGTTACAGTAACTTGAAACCGCTGGTGAACATCACATTACCAATCAAAATCCTAATTCTAATTCTGTCTGTTATTTACTCTATAGCTTAGTGCCGCCGATTCCTTCCGTCACACGTCCAACCAGAACTTTTGACATTGAGCTGGCACCTAGGTTCTTATAGACCTACTATTCTCTAACTCCTCTTCTATACCTTGCCTTTGGTCCAGAAGTAGCAATCAGCCTCTATTATACTTAGATTTCGAACAGACCTAGTTTAGATACTGACATACCAGACTATAACACACAATAAAATCAAAAATAACAATTATATATGAATTACGTGAAAGTGGCTGTAAGTAGAGAGAGAGTGTAAATAACAAGCGAGTAACCAAATACAAATGGTCAGTTCGTATGACAGTAGTTCATTAGTTAACCGAAAGCTTATGATAAAAGGAATACATATACATAGTAATCTTGTTACCTAGTAGTTATAATTAATAATAATCAGTAAAACCAGTTCCAACTTTTACAATATTCATTCCGTTATAATAAATACCAAACGAATAGACATTTAATATTTAAGTGAATATCGATCTGTTTATTAGCAGATCAAATAGTTCGTACAGCGATAATTCTTGTTTCCTTTCAAGTAGTAAACAATAACTGGTAGGTTTCTTTGTTTAATCATATCTCTACTTTGATCAATTTGTCAATAATTAATGTGATTATTTCATTATAATTAGTTCCCCAATACATAAAAATGCTTATATGAGATAATATACCCTTCCACGGTGTGGGCAGCCGGGAAGTGACACCAACCCTCATACCGTAACAGCACACGAGACCAAGTTGGTCACATTCAAATCCTTCCTACACCTCTTAATACCACTCTTATCTCCCCGTCTAACCCTTCTCACGTCCTTTTTCCACCTCGCACCGCTAGGGCAAACGATTCGAGTACGCGGAACGTTATTCCTGGTCCCCTGAAACCACGCTCTGAATTCGATCTGTAAATATTTTAGTATAGCAGTGAATACGATCTTATATATCTATTTTTAATTGACCGGATCATTTATGAAAAATCGCACATTCATATGTAGATGAATCACTTCTATTTATTTATTTATTTGAACACATGAATATTGGTACAAGAGAGCGCCAATATATATGCGCCACACAAAACAATGAGAATTCGAAGAGAAATAGAAAAGAAAGAAAAGCTGAGGAGCGTAAAAAAAGGAGAACAATAACGAAGAGATTGATGTAAGGTAGTATGGTAGTAATGAGGGAACGGAAAGGTACAATCAGTTTCTGTGATTGATTTAGATCAGTCAATCGCAACGTAGAACCTAATATGTATTTACATCGATTTAAGTTGTCATACCCTATTAGCACAGAGAGATTAAATTGTCAGGCCAAATCTCAGAATAGTAGAGGTAGGAACAGTATTAGTGGTGATAGGAAAGATTAGGGATTAAAGATACGATTCAAGAAAATGTAAATTAGTAAAATAAAAAGACAAAAACATTTTATGAAGTGTTCACAAGCTCAGCATATAGGAGAAGACAAAAAATGCACCTGCGTCATTGCAAATAATTTTGAGCCACATCATTTAAAGTCTCTGACCACTGGTTACGTTGATCACGCGGACCCCAACCAGGTAGTCTACATCTACCTACATGACTCAGTCTAATTATCATTAACTTCATGTGCTGATTCCATATTTTAGTTTCGCCGCCCCTACCTTTCGGTTTACTTCCATACTAAACAATATCGTCCTTTGAGGTAGATAGTAAGTGGAGATACGTAACACATGATATCTGTAAACACTGGAAGAACAAAAATGATTACATGGAATTTTATCAGCTAAAAATAGCTTCCTTATAATTTTAGTTTATCTGCAGTCGATGAAAACCCATGAAGTAGATTGGATTCATTTTATTCTGTAAGCTTTGTTATTATTGTATTATTTAAAAGGTATATTTGGTTATTACTTAAAATTACTACATAATACATTCTTATCCCTTAATAAGTTTAAATAAAACTTAAACGGAAGCACATTTAAACCAGGTTTTATGTGTCTTATGCATAATTGAATTATTAAGTAATACATACCCTTCAAGATTCCAAAGAAAGGAGACCTGAGCAAATGTGAAAACTACTGAGGAGTCGCACTACTGTCAGTACAAGGAAACGTCTTTAACAGAGTTTTGCTGAACCGGATGAAAGATGCAGTAGACGCCCAACTTCGAGATCAACAAGCTGGATTCCGTAAGGATCGGTCGTGCACAGACCAAATTGCAACACTACGGATCATCGTCGAACAATCAGTTGAGTGGAACTCATCACTGTACA